GCCTTCAAATGGGTCACCATCTNTTGGGCTTGGGCTTGGTAGAATGTCTCCTCAAGCAAAGGATTTCAATGGCGGCAAAGAGCAGCATGTGTGGTATTACTTACTTAGCTAACAAATAAGAGATCAAATCGAGCACCACCAAAATGAGGAACCTACTNTCATTTTTGTAGTTTTCAGTCTGGGAAAATCTAAAAATTGATACAGAAACCCATTTGCTAAAAGCCCAACCAACTGGGACCAAGGGAAGCCTAATGAGTCCCCTAGAGAAAGGCATAAGTGAGTTTAGTATTAGAACGTGACCATCTGGGTTTACTTGAAAAGAAACTATAGTGGGAGACTATTTGGAACAAGTTTGAGCCATAATGGTGTTGCATTTTATTGTCTGATCTCATTCCAATAGTGCCATTGATGATATCTGGTATGCCACACCGAGGCATCATCATCATCATTGACACAGTGTTATTATCTNGAAATAATGTCTTCTCATTCTATGGTTAGTTCAAGTATTAAGAAGTAGTAAACTCTACATTTATTAAATCTGATACTTTGTTTGGATAAAATATTAAATGATGATATAATATTAAATTATTAAAAAATTTTAAGATAAAAAGTAATATTTATATCTCATAAAATCGTTATTTAAGATAGTGTATGTAGTGTTGGGCCCAAAATATATAACCAAATATGAGTATAAGAGAAATAAGATAGGTCCTATATTATTTTTTCTAATCACACCTTCCTAAAGCAAACACANTGGTAATTAAGTGATCTCTCACTCCTCAACTCTATCTCTCTCTCACTAAAATACAGATTACAACTCTTATCATTATTTTCATGCTTTTGTTTCCTCTGTCAAGGGATCAATTTCTATGCTGGGACATTGACTATCTATCACACTCTCATCTTTCATGATTCTCTTTCCAAACTGAGACATATGTCTTCCCAAAATTCTATCATAATGTTGTTGTTTTCCATCTTTACAAGAATGTCTGTTATTGAACTAGAAATGGAAGAAAGACAAATAAAAGACAAGTCTGTGAAGCATTCCAAGGATGCAAATGAGGAGCAATTGGCTAAAACTGCAATGGTGGAGCAAGACCAGGACCAGGACCATGACTCTACAGAGTAGAAAGAGAAGAGTTCTTCGAAAAAACGAAAATCCCACAAATTTGGAGATGTTGCCAATAAGAAAGTCAATGAGTGGATTTTATTTGAATAGTTGAGCCATTGCATCTAAGGCATAACACATCTCAAATGCTTTAACAACGATTCAATGTATTTGTTAGTTTATTTATCCGTCGCCATCTTATGCTCATCCTAGAAGTCGAGCTTGTGTTTTTTTGGTAGTTAGAAGTGGGGATTGTTGCTCTACAAAATTTTGTATGATGCCAATTTTGTTGAGTCTAACTGTAGAGAGCACATTTTTAGTGGGATTTCATCGTGTCTTTCAAATTTATTGTATATTAATTATTCTGTGTAAAAATATTTGAACCATTTGCTATTTGAAACACTCCCCTAAATATAGTTGTATAAGAAAATGTGGATGATTGAGCCTCACTGTGAAAAGTCGTGGGAGAAAAAGAAAAAGAGAAATTTAGANTCCTAAATATAGTTGTATCAGAAAATGTGGATGATTGAGCCTCACTGTGAAAAGTCGTGGGAGAAAAAGAAAAAGAGAAATTTAGAGGCCGGTCCCCCTATACGGACTTGTTTGGACTTAAGTCCGTCAAGGAAACTTATTTGTTATGAAGTCATTTTTTTGTTAATTTTACCATATTATCCCTTCTCTTTAGAAGTGAAATAAAACTAAAAATTAAAAACTCATAAATTTAAGGAATTTGACTAACATTAATTTTTTTTTCTCTCATATATATATATATATATACACACACACACACACACACACACACACACATATATATATAGTAACATTAAAAATAAAAAATAGTAATATTCAAATACAAAAAAAAATTATCATTTGGACACAAAAAATAATACATTTAAACACCAAAAAATAGTAACATTTAAATATAAAAAAAATTGAAACATTCAATATTAATATTTTAAAAAAATAACAACAGTAACATGTTCAACAAAAATATTAACATGCTTAACAAAAACTATAACATATTTAATAATAATTATTTCTCTCAAATTCAAAAGCAAAAAATAGTATCATTCAAATACTAAAAATAGTAATATTTAAAAAAAATAGTAATACTGGATATTAATATTTAGGAAAATAATAGTAGTGACACGCTCAACAAAAACAGTAACATACTCAAAAATAATAGTACATGTACAATAACATACTCAACAAAGCAGTAACATGAACAATAACATAATAAAAAAAATAGTAACATGAATTTGAATTTTATTATTCAAATTCATAGTAACTTTTTTTTGTATTTGAATGTTACTATATATATATATATATATATATATATATAAGAGAGGAAAAAATTTTATGTTAATCAAACTCTTAACCTATATATGGATATAGATAGATGTGAGAAATAAAAGATTAACTTCCTTTAAAAGAATGATATTTTTGAGATAAAAAAAAAAGGTGGACTTAAGTCATTACGTATAATTTTAAACATGAATTTAGCCCCTTATAAGTTTCCTTGTAGGATTTATCTCCAAACAAATACATTTAGGGAGACTCACTTCTAATTTTCACAAAGAAAAACCATTAGTCTTTCTTTGTTGGGGCCCATGTAGGTGGTATGCTAGAGAACATCAGTGGATTCTATTTAGCCCACTATTTCAAAAAGCAACAGCTCTGTTTACCAAATCTATGCTTGAAGTCATTGTCTGAAGAAGATAATCAAACAATGATTATGGATTTGTACTTTTAGCAAATTGATGTGGTCATTCCAATACTAATCAAAAAAAAGAAAGGAGAGGAGAACCGAAAAAAGGTGGTGAAAATAAATCATTATGTGACTGGTGAAACTCGAAACTAGGAGTTACATATCCATCAGACACCTAACCTTGACCACTTTAGTTAATATAGAGATGGGTGGTGGGCTTGGGCTTGGGCTTGGGCGAGTGTCTCCCCAAGCAAAGGATTTCAATGGCGGCAAAGAGCAGCATGTGTGGTATTACTTAGCTAACAAATAAGAGATCAAATCGAGCACCACCAAAATGAGGAACCTACTTATTCTCAAGCGATTCATCAACGACTCATTTTCATCATCATATCACGGCGTTTCAGCAACTACTGTTTCTGTCAACAACTCTTCCGTTCCTTTCCCTCTCTTTTCCCGACGAGTCAATCTTTCTTTCTTTGTCTCAATTTCTCTATATTTTCAAGTATCTCTATCATTTCCAAATTTCTATCTATCTATGGGTCTTGGACTAATTATAAAAATAATGTCTTCTCATTCTATGGTTAGTTCAAGTATTAAGAAGTAGTAGACCCTATATTTATTAAATCTGATACTTTGTTTGGATAAAATATTAAATGATGATATAATATTAAACTATTAAACAATTTTAAGATAAAAAGTAATATTTATATCTCATAAAATCGTTATTTAAGTTAGTGTATGTCGTGTTGGGCCCAAAATATATAACCAAATATGGGTATAAGCGAAATAAGATAGGTCCTATATTATTTTTTCTAATCACACCTTCCTAAAGCAAACACAAAGCCCACTTTAAGTCTGTCTCTCTAAACGTCTCTCTCTGGAGCTCACTAACGCTTCAACCACCGAGACCTACCATTCCTCCGATTAAACCCATACCCACCGCCGCCGCCACTACCAAACCCATAACTACCGCGGCCACCTCTTGGACCACCACGTCCTAGCTTGTCGACGGGGCTCCGTTTGGCCCAGTGAGATCGATGGCCTTGGTCTTTTTACCCTCATGAATAACCAAAAATTATACCTCTTGGCCTTCATAGAGAGTTCGAAAGCCATCGGATTTGATCTCCGATTGGTGGACATGTAGATCTTTGCCTTCTTCGTAGGGTCTGATGGACCCCATAGCCCTTCTGATCGTTGAAGCGGACCACCTTCCCAATGATCTAGGGTTCTCCTCCGTCGCCATTGATCTCGAAAGAAACTGTTCTGCCTCCATTGTCCAATTATTTATGTAGAGTTTCTGCTTGCTCGTCATTTAAAAGGTGAGTGGATTAAAAGACTTCTGAAATCTTTTGCTATTTGGTGGTTCTTTTCTTAGGGTTATTAATTGGCCTTTTCCTATAAAATTTGGATTCTTTGGGTTTCATTCTTGTGTTCAATCGCTTTTATTAGTTATTATCTTTTGATCAGATTTTATTATTCAATTATTATTCTGACATATGTAGATATCAAACAGTTAATTTCGGTGGATATCAAACGGTGCACCATACAGCTTTCGGTTTGGAGACTCCAACTTTTGCAGCACCAGGTTCTCTGGACTTAAAATTGAACACTCTCCCTCCCGTTTGCTCTTCTCAATATTTACTCTAATTTCACTAACAAAATGAACTTTCAACAAAAAACTTGAACTTATTCAAATTAGAGTAAATAGACAAGGAGCAATGAGAAATGGACCTACCATCGAGTGGGTTGGTCCAATGGGATACCGGTCGAATTTCTTACTTTGAGGTTTTTGAATCTTAGAGTCTACTTTGAGACTCGATAGATGGGCGCTCCTAGCTAAGTTCGTTTCGAAGAGAAATAATTAGTGTTGTTTGGAGCCTCAGAATCCCATCACTGAAAGTCTTCCTAGATGATCACTAAGCTCTCTCCTTTGCCCCCATCCCTATTTTACTTGGCAAAAAAAAAATGTTATATGAACTGAATTTACTAACTTGATCAATTATTATTATTAATTTAACCGTGGATCTCAATTTTTTTAATACAAGAAACATTTCTCATAGGGAAGTGTGGTTGACCGTTGACTTCTTGTAAAACCCAAAGCGGGAAGCCTACGGGCTTCTCTCTCTCTCTCAAAACTTCAAGAGAACACTACTACCTAACCAGAGGGCTTCTCTCTCACCATTCATGTACTCTCCAAGGCATACATGCTTGAAACTGGAAGTCCCCAACACCACGGAACCCGAACAAACTGAATCCATCTTCGTTAAAGGCACATGGTTCGCCTCTCGCTTCCACCTCTCCATCACCAACGGCCTCAATGCTTGGATTTGCAACGGTGCGAGCATTTTTTATTCAAATTATCGATAAATTGTGTTTTCAGAAGATAAAATATTGATAAAATTTGTTTCTAAAGTGTTTGAAAATTTTTAGGATTGGAAGATGATGTTAGAGAGAGATCGTCTCAATGGGACCAACCTGTGTCGGAATACATCGAGTTGGCTGAGCGTTATCTAGGGTTTCAACAGCCCGGTTCAGTTTATGGGTTCTCCGATGCTGGAAATGGGGATAGAAGAGTTAGTATTCCTTTATTTATCCTGTTATTTATTGGTATTTGTTCGTTTGTATTTAGATAGGTTCATCACTCATGTATGTTGTTGTATGTGTGCACAAAGGTAATTTTGGAATAAAAGTTGTTACTTGGATCGATTTGGGTAAAATTGGGTGTTTCTTCTGAGTTCAATTATTGTAATTGTACCATCGATGATAATATTGTTATGGAATACAGTATTGTTGTTGGACTTTTCCTTATCAATTAACGTTGTGATCACAATTGTTCGATGTTAGTGGCTCACTAACCAATGATATACGTGAGTTCGTTATAAAAGGTTGGGAAGAGTAGCATTACTCTTTGCAATCTGGATTTTGTTCCATAGTTTTGATGTTCCTTTGAAGTTACAAAATTATGTATGTTGTAGTTTTTCTGGTGTAAACAGATATATGTAGGATACAAAGTTGATTAGAACTTGTGCTAATTTAATTAGGTGCAATTGATATGTAGTTTTTGGTGATGCTAAATTTAGGAGGCCATTGTCAGTGTAGGTCCCAACAATTTATTGTGTCAGGGTTTTGGGGTGAGTGAAGAGGGAAATACGTAGAAACTTAACCTAACTTTTGGCATATTTGCTTAGATTTATGCTCTAATGCTTGTTAACCCGAGGCTTCACTATCGCTCCAAGCAATGACCCTAATGTTGGTAATTCCAAATTCCTAATTGAAATGTTGAATGCAATTACTACTTGATGCTTCATGCTTGTATTGCTATGCCTATAGGTTTTGTATAGGGTAGAAATTCCACGTATTTGTCACAAAACTTAGTTCATTATGATGATTGCAAAGCAGCAAATGTAAATTTTCTTGCAATCAAATGTAAGTTTTCTTTTCCTTTTTTTTGGGTTCTGATTTGTTCTTTTATTTTCTGGTGCAATGTTTTGCAGTTATCATGGACATTTCATAAAGAAGGGACTAAGCTTGAGTGGCGATGGAAATGTCAACTGTCGCCTAACAGGAAGGAAACTACAGCTGGAATTTTGGACTTTCTTATGGATGCAAATATCCGACTAAGTGTAAGATTATTAATTATTGTTTTGTTGTCGTAAGCAATGTAACTTAGATGCAATGCTCTCCAACTTGCCCCCATTAATGTAACGGTAGTTGGGGAAAGAAATTACCTACTAACTCTAAGCTTCGAGTAGGCACATACGCAAATGAACAAAGAAACTCCCAAGATATCATGGGGCATTAAGTGCTTGCATCCAACATGTAGCTTCTCATTGACTTTAGTAGTTCTCAGTGTGACACCAAGTGTACCCGTGATTGAACTCCATGTATTTGTTCGTGATCTCATATTGGCTTTGATAATTTTGCACCTAAGTTGGTAGTGCATTGCCTTGTGCCTGTGATGATATGATGCTGATTTATGGAAATTGTTGTTGCTATACTCAGTTTGAAGTTTCTTCTTGTTTATTGACCTATACAAGTTAATATGATGCTGGAATTGGGTATGAGCTGACAATTTTCACTTTATGTAAATAGGAGGAAGTTGTAAGTAAAGCCCAATCATGTGAGAAGCTAAAAGTGGAGGCTGAAAAGTGTTTGGCACAAAGTGAAAGATTCAGCAACGAGAAGGTAGAATTTGAATCTGCAATCTATGCAAAGGCACGTGTCTTCTAACCCAATGCCTTTAATATTCTCATTGTTGATGTTGCAAGTGGTGCTTGGTGCATAACCATCATGTAAGTCATCTTTCACCTCAATATTCTTGTTTTGGTAAAGTTGTCAGAAAAAGAATGTTCTTTACTCCCCGTTTCACCTNTGGAATTTTGGACTTTCTTATGGATGCAAATATCCGACTAAGTGTAAGATTATTAATTATTGTTTTGTTGTCGTAAGCAATGTAACTTAGATGCAATGCTCTCCAACTTGCCCCCATTAATGTAACGGTAGTTGGGGAAAGAAATTACCTACTAACTCTAAGCTTCGAGTAGGCACATACGCAAATGAACAAAGAAACTCCCAAGATATCATGGGGCATTAAGTGCTTGCATCCAACATGTAGCTTCTCATTGACTTTAGTAGTTCTCAGTGTGACACCAAGTGTACCCGTGATTGAACTCCATGTATTTGTTCGTGGTCTCATATTGGCTTTGATAATTTTGCACCTAAGTTGGTAGTGCATTGCCTTGTGCCTGTGATGATATGATGCTGATTTATGGAAATTGTTGTTGCTATACTCAGTTTGAAGTTTCTTCTTGTTTATTGACCTATACAAGTTAATATGATGCTGGAATTGGGTATGAGCTGACAATTTTCACTTTATGTAAATAGGAGGAAGTTGTAAGTAAAGCCCAATCATGTGAGAAGCTAAAAGTGGAGGCTGAAAAGTGTTTGGCACAAAGTGAAAGATTCAGCAACGAGAAGGTAGAATTTGAATCTGCAATCTATGCTAAGGCACGTGTCTTCTAACCCAATGCCTTTAATATTCTCATTGTTGATGTTGCAAGTGGTGCTTGGTGCATAACCATCATGTAAATCATCTTTCACCTCAATATTCTTGTTTTGGTAAAGTTGTCTGAAAAAGAATGTTCTTTACTCCCCGTTTCACCCTATCTGCATTTCTGCCATGCCTTTTGTCACCAAAACCATGGCCTACCATCACCATGAGTTAAGTAATTGCTGGGTTGTTATTTTCTTTTCTCCAAGAGCGAAAGAGGAAAATTGGATTATGGAGAGGATTTTATGAGAAAAAATGTGTTTCTTTATGAGAATTTTTTTTTTGAAAGAGGGAGGTTGAGAGAGAGAGGTTTTGAAAAGACAGAGAGATATGATTTAAGTGTCGTTTTCAAAGAGAGATTTTCTATAGACAACTTTTTTTTTTCTCTTGAGATATTGGTTTTTAAATAGAAATATTTTCTTTGTTTTTTGTTGGCCAAGTTTGACCACCACATATGCAATGTATATCGATTTCTAAATTAGCCGTTATTCATAAGGACATGCATGTGACCGTTTTTGTCTAAAAACCTAACACATTAACAGGGAAGGGACACATTGCTCTACAAGGTGAAGTTTGAGGACAAAAATAGAGAAATAAATGAAGTTTAGGGCTAATTTGGAACGAGTGCCAAAGCCTAGTGGCCACCATTATTTTTAAGACTTTTTTCCTCCCACATTAGGAAATAGAGTAGTTTGGTGAACTCTTTTAGATGTATGGTAATTGGGGATTTTGACTAGATGAGTTTATGTGATATCTTATAATCTTGTCATTATTCTTTGTTACATATGTTTTGAGATTCTGGGGATGGCATGTCATCTTTCTGCTTCCAGTTTCTTGGCGTTTTGAATTCAAAAAAAGCAAAACTTAGAGAGCTTCGAGATAAGCTTTCAAAACAGGAAAGTTCTAGAAAATTGCCGGAAGAAGAGGAAGAAGAATCCACCGACAAAACTGAGATTTATGGAAGTGATGATGAAAAAAGTGAGGAAGAGCCTGCAAAGAATCTTATTGGCACTTCAAAGAATGTTTCAGCAAGTAGGCCTCGCGGTCGCTAGAGGAAGTAAATGTCACTACCTGATGTCCATATATGTATGTTAAGCCGTTGCCATTTCCCTGTCCTCGCCTTCGGAAAAATTTGATGTGAAGATTTTCTTGCTAGTTCACAGTTGCTTTGTAAGAATTTTATGGAAAAAATAAGTTAATAACAAATGTCTTCTTGTCAGTTTTATATTTTTGGTCACATACCACTTATCCCAAGTTATAACAAGGCCCAGGTAAAGAGCAAAGTTGTTCAAATTGCGTTTAATCGATTAATCATTATTATATGTGTTTGTAAATATTGTTGTGTTGCAGTATTGACTGTTGTACACTCTTATTTGAGTTCTTGTTTTAAGCTAGTATTTGTCCCTCCCCACCTACATCCCCCCTTCTCCCGTTTTTTAAGTGGAACAATGCTTACTTAAATTTGATTTATTGATANACTAACTCTAAGCTTCGAGTAGGCACATACGCAAATGAACAAAGAAACTCCCAAGATATCATGGGGCATTAAGTGCTTGCATCCAACATGTAGCTTCTCATTGACTTTAGTAGTTCTCAGTGTGACACCAAGTGTACCCGTGATTGAACTCCATGTATTTGTTCGTGATCTCATATTGGCTTTGATAATTTTGCACCTAAGTTGGTAGTGCATTGCCTTGTGCCTGTGATGATATGATGCTGATTTATGGAAATTGTTGTTGCTATACTCAGTTTGAAGTTTCTTCTTGTTTATTGACCTATACAAGTTAATATGATGCTGGAATTGGGTATGAGCTGACAATTTTCACTTTATGTAAATANAATTATGTTAATAAATTAGATCCAAATAACATTATTGTTTTAAGTTTTGTAGCACTTTTGGTGAACAAAAGGCTGTGTTAATGGTATTTGCATACCAACACTATTGTCCTTCCCAAAACTCAAAAACAGTGGGTTGTACAAGAGATTGTTGATTCAACTATATACATCTATTTGGGATATAAAATTTGAAAGTAGTTTTGGGATGCACATCATTATTATTTGCATGAATATACAAATAAAGCGTAAAAAACACAGCCAAANTAAGGCACGTGTCTTCTAACCCAATGCCTTTAATATTCTCATTGTTGATGTTGCAAGTGGTGCTTGGTGCATAACCATCATGTAAATCATCTTTCACCTCAATATTCTTGTTTTGGTAAAGTTGTCTGAAAAAGAATGTTCTTTACTCCCCGTTTCACCCTATCTGCATTTCTGCCATGCCTTTTGTCACCAAAACCATGGCCTACCATCACCGTGAGTTAAGTAATTGCTGGGTTGTTATTTTCTTTTCTCCAAGAGCGAAAGAGGAAAATTGGATTATGGAGAGGATTTTATGAGAAAAAATGTGTTTCTTTATGAGAATTTTTTTTTTGAAAGAGGGAGGTTGAGAGAGAGAGGTTTTGAAAAGACAGAGAGATATGATTTAAGTGTCGTTTTCAAAGAGAGATTTTCTATAGACAACTTTTTTTTTTCTCTTGAGATATTGGTTTTTAAATAGAAATATTTTCTTTTTTTTTTGTTGGCCAAGTTTGACCACCACATATGCAATGTATATCGATTTCTAAATTAGCCGTTATTCATAAGGACATGCATGTGACCGTTTTTGTCTAAAAACNCTCTTGAGATATTGGTTTTTAAATAGAAATATTTTCTTTGTTTTTTGTTGGCCAAGTTTGACCACCACATATGCAATGTATATCGATTTCTAAATTAGCCGTTATTCATAAGGACATGCATGTGACCGTTTTTGTCTAAAAACCTAACACATTAACAGGGAAGGGACACATTGCTCTACAAGGTGAAGTTTGAGAGGAAATAGAGTAGTTTGGTGAACTCTTTTAGATGTATGATAATTGGGGATTTTGACTAGATGAGTTTATGTGATATCTTATAATCTTGTCATTATTNGACAAAAATAGAGAAATAAATGAAGTTTAGGGCTAATTTGGAACGAGTGCCAAAGCCTAGTGGCCACCATTATTTTTAAGACTTTTTTCCTCCCACATTAGGAAATAGAGTAGTTTGGTGAACTCTTTTAGATGTATGGTAATTGGGGATTTTGACTAGATGAGTTTATGTGATATCTTATAATCTTGTCATTATTCTTTGTTACATATGTTTTGAGATTCTGGGGATGGCATGTCATCTTTCTGCTTCCAGTTTCTTGGCGTTTTGAATTCAAAAAAAGCAAAACTTAGAGAGCTTCGAGACAAGCTTTCAAAACAGGAAAGTTCTAGAAAATTGCCGGAAGAAGAGGAAGAAGAATCCACCGACAAAACTGAGATTTATGGAAGTGATGATGAAAAAAGTGAGGAAGAGCCTGCAAAGAATCTTATTGGCACTTCAAAGAATGTTTCAGCAAGTAGGCCTCGCGGTCGCTAGAGGAAGTAAATGTCACTACCTGATGTCCATATATGTATGTTAAGCCGTTGCCATTTCCCTGTCCTCGCCTTCGGAAAAATTTGATGTGAAGATTTTCTTGCTAGTTCACAGTTGCTTTGTAAGAATTTTATGGAAAAAATAAGTTAATAACAAATGTCTTCTTGTCAGTTTTATATTTTTGGTCACATACCACTTATCCCAAGTTATAACAAGGCCCAGGTAAAGAGCAAAGTTGTTCAAATTGCGTTTAATCGATTAATCATTATTATATGTGTTTGTAAATATTGTTGTGTTGCAGTATTGACTGTTGTACACTCTTATTTGAGTTCTTGTTTTCAGCTAGTATTTGTCCCTCCCCACCTACATTCCCCCTTCTCCCGTTTTTTAAGTGGAACAATGCTTACTTAAATTTGATTTATTGATAGTAGGTACCACTCAATATTCTTTGGAACCTACGATTAATTCAATGATTGTGATGGATTATGTTAATAAATTAGATCCAAATAACATTATTGTTTTAAGTTTTGTAGCACTTTTGGTGAACAAAAGGTTGTGTTAATGGTATTTGCATACCAACACTATTGTCCTTCCCAAAACTCAAAAACAGTGGGTTGTACAAGAGATTGTTGATTCAACTATCTACATCTATTTGGGATATAAAATTTGAAAGTAGTTTTGGGATGCACATCATTATTATTTGCATGAATATACAAATAAAGCGTAAAAAACACAGCCAAAATGCAACTTAATAGGCTATAGAAACTATCAGATGGAGCAATCCAAAAGGGAATCAAAAAGCGCAAAGAAACCAGTTACAAAGATAGTGCAGCATAGCAATCTGGTAAAAGTACCACTCAATCTAAGAATACCCACAGCCAATTACTTTAGACAAGTTAGTATAGATGAAGAAGGCATGAACGCAGACCCATTGGAGCATACCCAGTTTTTCTTTGCAAAAATCCAGCAAGCCTTCTCAACAAAATCATAGATAACAGTTTCCCATAACTCTTCAAACACTCCACTGGCTGGTGCATCAAATTGAAATCACTGTTTGTTCCATGAGATTTAGGTAGACAAAATAGTAGATGTCGAAAGCATCGACCATCCAAAGATGAAAAACTTAAAGCATTGCTTGTTGTACCCCACATTGTATAAGTTTCAGAGGAAACAATCACAAATCTTTCTAAAGAGAATTAGGAAGTGACTCGAGGGCCGTTTGTCATTGTTTATTCACCAACACATGGTGTAGTAATGTCAAACTGACTGCTTCATTAGGCAAGAAATTTTTATTACGCATCTCTTTAAAGAACTGCATTGCTTTGGTGATCTCATTTTCTTGGAGAAAACCTCGAATGATGATGTTAAATGAAATGGCAGCTGGGAAGCAACCCTCCTCTTCCATCCGCAAGAACAATTTACTGGGCTCCGACAACATCCCATTCCTGCAGAGGCCATTGATCATTATGTTATATGTTACAATATGAGGCACCATACCTTTCTTCAAGATTTCATCAAACTGTTCCTTCGCTGCAGCTATTTTACCAACTCTGCACATCCCATCAATGAGTGTGTTGAAAACTTCAATATTAGTTTCAAGCCCAGCACTCTTAATAGACCTAAATACATCCATTGCCTCTTCGAGCTGTCCATTTTTGCAGAGCCCATTTAACAGTATAGAATAAGAACACAAATCTGGAGATAACCCACAAGTTTGCATCTCATTGAATAGTCCCTTTGCGGTTTTAACTCTTTCTGCCTGGCAGAGTGCTCCTATTAGTGTGCTGTAAATTACAGTGGTGGGCTTCAGCCCCTTCTCATGCATTTCCTGAAAAAGGCGCATAGCTCCATCAATTGCCCGACCTTTACAATACCCATTAATCAATGTATTGTAGCAAGTAACATCCTGTTCAAGACCTCTGTGTTCCATTTACTTAAACAGCTCTGCTGCATCATCCAAGCTACCTGTCAAACATAATCCATAAATCAGCGAATTATACGTAAATTCATTAGGCTTCTTGCCTAGCAGAATCATCAGGTCAAACACCATCCTAGCTTCTCCCACCATTCCCCTTTTACAGAGACAATCTATTAATATCGTAAATGTTACAACATCTGGTGAAATCCCTTGTCCAACCATTTTATCAAAAATTCTTGTAACTTCCTTCCACAAATCCAGCTGACAAAAACCATGAATCAAAGAACTATATGTTACAACATCGGCATAAATCCCTCGGCCAACCATTTCATCAAAAAGTCTCACATCTTCTTTCAACCGGCCTGAACTACACAAACCATCAATTAAACAACTGTAAACAATGACATCTGGGGTAACACCTTCATGAATCATGTCGGAGAAAAAATCAAGTGCCTCATTCATCAACCCATCTTTGCAAAGAGAATCAATGATCATGCTATATGAGGGCACCTTTACTTCAACTTTCTCTTCAGTCATTTTATCAAGAAACTGAACTGCACTCAAAACCTTCCCCTCCTTACATATACCTTTAACCAAAGTACACAATGTAACTGAATCTGCTTTCAAACCCCTCCTCAACATTATGCCAAATACACAAAACCCAACACTTATTTCACCCAAATGACAGCAACAATTAATTAAAATATTCAGAGTATACAAGTCAGGCTCACTACCTACCAAACCCATTTTCCTATGCAATAAAAATACAAGTTTGGAGGTAGAGCCTAAAATATGATTAAATGTATCGATTGACGGTATGGGTTGCATTTGAACCACTTCGTCGAAGTACTTTACTGCATCTTTGAGCTTAATGTTACCTGATTTACACTGATCCCTCACGTAACGTTCGAACCGGTTCGGAAGACCAGTAACATTCTTTCTTGAACCAGATTTTCTGGGTTCGGAATTTGAGAAGGAAATCTGAGATGGGTTTGTAAAGAAAGAAGAGAGAGAGTGTGGGAATTTATTAGTCTTTTGTATTGCAGTTCTTGAAATAGTAGTTGGCATTATTTTGCAACGCCAAGTTTGTATAACAAATTTATATGAATGGATTGATCTGTGTATGACATTTAGGAGTTGCAGAGATGTAGGGTGGTGGAGCAATGGACATGTCTATTGATGATAATTTTTTAAGTTTGAACATCTACACAAAGGTGTGCATGTGGGGTGGGTTTGGGTGGTTCGTTTTTTTGGGTTGTTAGGGAAAAATCAGGTAATATGTATAATTTTTCTTATTTGGATTTAATTTATTACTATCCCAGCATGTGAACGATGTCGGGTGAGATTACTTCGTGTCAAATTTTTTTTAGGTTCGTATTAAAAAATATTTTATTTATATTTGATTTATTTATTAATTCGTGTCTAACGAATCATGTTATATCAGATTCGTGTCGTATATGATCCTTGTATAACTAATATACAAACAAGTTATATCGTGTATTTCTTCTGATTGACTTCACTCATACCCGATTCATTTATTAATCATGTCGTGTTAAATCCACTTATTTATTAAACAGGTAATTTATAAAAAAAACTCAAATTCTTTAATTTTGTGTAGTGTTCATGTCGTATTAATGGGTTGTGTCATATTTTGACACTCCTAAGTATCACGATAAGTAGTAACAAATAGTCAAACTAAATTCTACCATGAAAAAATATTTTTTGATACGTTACTAAAAAAAATATATTTCTGAATCATAGTCTTGTCTATATGAGTTTTAGGATAATATTATTCGGTAATTTTAAAAGTTTGAAATGTTTCATAAAAGTATGCAAAAAAAAATTTGTTTGATAATTTCCGTAAAAAATTGAGTTCGATTCACATTCTTTTTTTCTTTAATATAAGAACTTGATATTTTTTATTATTTTAAGAGTAATGCTGCATAGACTTAAAAAATAGACTTAAAAATTACACTTGATAATCTCAACCATTAAATAAGTAGTGGATCCTAATAAATGCTGGGACTCACAGTGAAATTAATGATTGAAATTATCGAGTCTAATTTTTAAATCTATTTTTTAAGTTCATGTAACATTACACTTATTTTAATGATTAGTAGTCCACAAGTAAATTAAATCAAGATATATGCTTAAAAATTATTTTTTAATAGTGATAATGATAAGATTTTAGTTTGAGCTGTCCATCCAAAATCTAGAGTATCTAATGAGTCCAATGGTTACACCACAACCCAAGTGGCCCCTCCGCAGCCATCTGCCTCGCAAAAGAAATGGCCTATAATACATGACTGCATTAATCTGACAATAGGAATGTGGAAAGTGGAAACCCTCTCATTAAGTTATAGACTATTCTATGGCAGAATATCAGAAGTAATCACTCCGCCTTTAGTCGAAGTGGAACTTGTCAGTTTAATTTGCCAACTATGACTCCATTTCACGAATCATAATAGCTTCTAATCACAATTAGAGATCTAGTATCAAACCTAAGCACAAATGATGACCTTAAACTGTAGCATAACTCCCAGCCAAAACATCCTTCTCACTGTATAGTATCCTAATTACTAATGGGGCAGTTGTATCCGAGAAAGTTGACAGCTCATCAATCTGAAAAAAGACCAAATCGGAAAATCAATCTTGGATAAAAAAAATAGTCCTTTGTTTACAAGCTTCCCAGCACATGTAAAATTTGTTGAGTTATATCTCAGGGGCTGTTTGGCTGTCATTCGCAAATCTTATCAGTCCATTGCATTCATCTAATTTTATTGTTAACTGTGGGCTCGTATCACATCATCTTACACTTCAGTGTACCTAGACATTTTGTTGCTGTATGTTTCAAAAGCGAATTCGCCAAACTTCTCCCAAGGCCTCTTTCTAAGGAGAGAGTGAACTAAAAAGAAAAAGAAAAAAGACTCGAAACACTGAACTAAAACCTCTGTAAAATAGAATAATCTCAAGGGAAAATCAAACACCCTATTGTCAAATATTTCGCAAGTAAACAAAAAACTTGTATACAAAGTGTTGTAATTACGATTTCAAGAGCTGAAATCAATATTAATAGCCAATTACA